CCCAGATGTTGTCACCCCTGGGGTGAGGGCTGCTGGGCCCTAGTTTGGCTTTCAGAGACCCGATAATATATGATAATATATGAGCTGACACCGATTATCCTGCGTGTCAAGGGCGGAGGCATGAGTTAAGCTGCTTTTACCCTCCCAGGGCTGGCAGGAACTAGATATAATTGAAACTTGTTAGGGTCCAACAAGCTGTCCTGAAAACACTATCATTACTTCCCTAATGACTAACCACGCCTTTCAGGAGGCAGGAAGGCACTGAGGGCCGTGGGTTCCTGGAGAGGACTCAGGAAGTGGGAGGCTGACAGCCTATAATCTGGGGGCCAGGGCCTGCTGGGCTGGCCCCTGCTGCTGGCAAGGAGTCCTGGGTCAATGCCCCTGCCCATGCTCTGGACTCAAAGTAGAGTCTCCAATGGCGATTGGGTCCCCTTGGTCCCTCTGAGGGCAGGGACAAGGTAAGGCTGACCCCCGTGTGAATAATAAGCACATTCAATGTAAATGCGTGAAACCCCAGGCCCTAGGTCCCTGTGTCTCCTCCTTCCCAGGGTCCAGTTGCTGTGTGATAGTTGTCTCCATCCATATCCACCTCCACAGGGTCCCCACCACAGCAACCCTTCCCCAAGTCCCCTGCCTCAATTTCCCTCTCCCAGTTCTTTCTCCTCTCTGCTCCAATGGCCTTCCCAAAGGAGAATCTAGATCACTGTTGTAAAGGACATTTTGTGTTCCCGGTTCCTGTCACCAGACCTCTACCTCCTAACCGTTCACCCTCTCTGGAACTCATGGCCCAGTCTACCCCAGAACTTCCCTCCACCCTCCTGCCCTTTCCACTCTCCAGCTGGGTCCTCCTTTTAAAAAGGTAGTCTTTAGATCACACCAGTAACATTTGAACACAAATGAAAAGCAACCTCTTTTTGATCCCTGTCCCCACATTCCATTCCACCTTTCTGTCCTTGGCACCTAACCACTACCCTGCACCCAGTGTGGTTAATCCAGCCCTTTGTCCGGAGTGGACAGAGCAGCTGCTGCTTCTCTGTGTCCAACTTTGCTGTCTCTGGGATGTGAATGGCAGTGAGGGGCAAGTCTCTCCCACGCCTCCTCAAAAAGAAGAGGTGACAGTGGCAAGCTTTGAAGCTCTGGGATGAGCAGGAGAAGAGGAGGTCCTCTGTCCCACAGAGGAGGCAGCCAGTGGTATGGGGCCCCCCACTACTTTTAATGGACTTTTTTGGGGGTACTTCTATATTATCTATTTTCTTTTTAATTTTTAATAAATCATTGTATTAGGGGCTCTTACAGCTCTTCTCACAATCCATGCATCCATTGTGTTAAACACATTTGTACATTTGTTGCCATCATCATTTTCAAAACATTTCCTTTCTACCTGAGCCCTTGGTATCAGCTGCTCCGTTTTCCCTCCCTCCCCCTCCCTGCCTTCCTTGTGATTCCTTGATAAATTATAAATTTTTATTTTTATCTTACACCATGCGCTGTCTCCCTTCACCCACGTTTCTGTTGTTAACTGACATTTTTTTTACCCAAACCACTTTATTAGGACCCAATCTAGATATCATATCATTCCATAGTCCAATCGCAGCAAGCAGTATTGTTTTTTTGTTTTTTTTTAAACATTTTATTAGGGGCTCATACAACTGTTATCCCAATCCATACACACATCAATTGTGTAAAGCGCATTTGTACATCGTTTCTCAAAACATTTTCTCTCCATTGAAACCCCCGACATTAGGTCCTCATTTTTCCCCTCCCTCCCCGCTCCCCCCTCCCACATGAGCCCTTGATAGTTTATAAATTGGTATTTTGTCATATCTTGCCCTGTCCAACGTCTCCCTTCATCCACTTTTCGGTTGTCTGTCCCCCAGGGAGGAGGTCACACACAGTTCCATGTAATCGGTTCCCTCTTTCCTACCCATTCTCCCTTTACCCTCCCTGTTTTGCCACTCACACCACTGGTCCTATAGGGCTCATCCGTCCTGGATTCCCTGTATTTTCAGTTCCTATCTGTACCAGTGTACCTCCTCTGGTCTAGCCAGTCTGCAGCAAGCAGTATTGTACAGTTGCTACCACAACCTTTTCTTTCTTCTTGAACTCCTTCATATCAGTTTCTCTTCCGCTCCCCCCGCCCAACCCCCAGGAACCTCTTTTCTAGTTGTGTTCCCTATAGATTAATCAATCATGGGTTTCATATTCTGAAAAGCAGACAAATACATAACAAAGATTCAAGAAGACTACCCACAATGACAAATACATCAGAGATAAATTCCAATATGAAAAAATAAACCAGAAAATCTTGAAAACCAGATCTAGCGCAAAAGTGTATCAGAGTGGAGATCAAGTCAGGTTTATCATTTTGATCTACTATAGTCATCTCTTCAATACTGTTTGGTAATGTTTATTACCATCCCTCAATTATAGTGAGAGGGAAATCAGCTGAGGTTTATTTCCTGTGTAGATTCTGCAAATGTATTTTGCGTTTCTACTGTCATCCACAGCCTTCTGCAAACCAGAATATCACAATTTAAACTCTGATACCATTCCCTCCTTTGGCTTTGGATTGTGTAATTTACAATCCTTGGGGTCTCAGATGTTGGCGTGTTTCTTCCATGTGGACTCGGTTGACATTTACTTAGATGGCTGCTTGTTTGGGAAGAAGTCTTTAAGACCTCAGACTGACATTTTTCTTGTCATTGGCTAATGGCACTCATACAAATGACTCAGAAGTCTGGGGTTAGGTTACTCAAGTTTTGAACCTCACCTGTAAGCCTACCATCCTTCCTCTAACATCACTCCACAAATGAATGGTGTTAACAGAGGAGAAACAAGCCCACCTAAAACAGTTGATGCTGTTGGGTGCCATGTCATGGTCTTGAACTTAGGAGTCTAATGGGATATGGTAAAGCCACACCATAGGGTTTTCTAGGATGTAATATTTATGAGTGAGCCCTGGTTTAAATTAAGCTTTCAGCTGCTATGCAAGAGGCTGTCAGTGGGAACCCACTAGCAGTCTGCTTCTGGACAAATTTCAGCCTGGGGTTTCAAGAGAAGACATTCTACTAAGTTCTATAAGGTTGCAACAGAATGCATTTTGGGTTTATTTTTCCCATAAATCCTTATGGAAGCAGGTGGCCAGGCCTTTGTCTCTTGAAAATGCCCTTCTTGCCTGGAGAGGTGGATAGGAAGATGTCTCCTTTTCCCAGACCTGGGCGTTGGGTGGAGGAGGTGAGGGGTCTGGGTTGGGTGCCCCAGGTACGGCCATCATCGGGTAGCCGGGCTGCTGCTGGCTGGGTCACCTCTAGGGGTGGGGCAGGGCTCCCCTTTCCAGGAGCGCCCCAGCCGGCTGACCCTCCTCCGCCTTCCTTCCAAGCCTGAAACTGTCCAGGACTAGGCAGTGCTACCAGTGCGTAGAGGCTGGGCTAGGAGCACAGGGCGGAGTTTGGGACCTGAGACTCCCGCCCAGACCTCCCCCGGACCACGCAGATAGGGTGGCATGATCTGACTGGTTCTTTCAATGCTTAGCTGGAAAAAGTAATCGTATGCCAAAATCAGGCAACAGTTAAAGAAATGACAAACCGAGGATTCAATTTCACGAACATGACCGTATTTGAAGCAAAACAAAGCTACACGGCCTAGGAAACACGGACTAAAGGTAATGAAATGAAAACAACGGAGGTACACGCTGCTCCTTGAAGACAGCTGTGGCTGCTCTTGCTCCTCGGACGAGGGCACTTGCTTGTGACCATGTCGCCTCTATCTTCCGTTGGGGACCCTGGAGCAGTCCAGTTTCTTCGGGTCAGAATCGCAGGGACGCACTTAGATGGCTGCTTGTTTGGAAATAAGCCTTTAAGACTCCAGACTGATTAGTAAATGCATTATTCTGCGCTGATGGGAAAAACTGTCCCGAGGGGGAGAGAGGCAGAGAATGAGGGGCCCAGACCGTTTCTGGGGCTATTTTCGTGGGAAGAGGCATTTACCCCCAGCTGAGATGGAGGAGCCAGGGAGGAACAGACGTCTGAGCACAGAGGGAAGGGGCAGCCATCCTGCTAGGCCTGAGGGACAAGGCAAGGCAGGCCGCAGGACCCAGTGTCTACAGTAGCCAGAGCGCTGCGCATCCTATGGAGACGACTTCAGCATCTCGTGTCCTCCCGGGCCAACCGAACAAATCCACTCAAGGTCCAGGTGATTGTGTGCCCGACCTTGGCCCCACCTCTGAAAGCACATTCTCAGGCAGCGACCCCAATAGCCAAGTCCGCTTCCCCCCGCCCACCGTAGCCCCAACCCCGTAGTTCTCTTAGCCCCGCCCCAACATGCTTCTCCACGCCTACATTTGGCCCCGCCCCCATAAGTTTTCCACTTGCGATCCCGCTGCGCCTGGGAACCCGTCCTCTGCTTCTACCCACCCTCAGTCCCGCCCCGTCCTGCTCTAGTCTGTGGCCTCGCCTCAGCTTTTCCCTGGCTCTGGCTCCGCCCCTCCCAGCGGGCCCGCCCCTAGCTAATGCTAAATCCCGTTTCTGGCCCCGCCCCTATTTGCGGTCCTGCCTCTGGCTCTGAATTAACTCATTTTCCTCCCGGCTCCAACCCGCTCCTCCTGAAGCTCCGCCCTCTCCTTGTGTCCCGCCCTTTCCACTGTATTGCCTTTGCTCACAACTCCGCCCTTACCTGAGACTCGGGCTCCTCGCCCCGCCCTAGGATCTGCCCCGGCTCCGCCCAGCTCCCCTCGCCACTAATCGACTTCTTCCCGGGCTCCGATTGGTTGCGCTTTAGCTGTTCGACTAATGGATTGGCCCACGGCGCCCGCTCTCGCGGGGCATTCTTTCTGGTATGGGAAGGGCCAACGGCGGCGGGCGGCGCTGGATTGGCCAATGGGGAGATGGGGCGGGCCCGCGCCGCGCGCAGCGCCTGGGCTGGAGCGCGAGGATCCGCCGCCGCCTCAGTCTCCTCTGACTCCGCGGCGTCTTCGCCTTAGCTCGGTCGTCCTCAGTCCCGCCCCACCCGGCCCCGCCCTGCCCCGCCCAGGTTTCCAGCGGGCTGGCCTGAAGGCACTCCCTGGACCGCGGGACAGGTGCGTGGTCGTCGCGCTGGGGGCGGAGTGGGGGCCGGACTGTGGTGGGAAGGTGGCCGGCTAAGCCGGGGGAGGGGAGGGGTCGAGGAGGGCCTGGCCGAGTCCTGGGCCGCCAGCTTGGCCACTCGCTCCCCGAGGAGCGTCTGCCAGTTGGTCGGGGGGGGGGGGGGGGGCGAACGTCCTGTTTACTGCTACTCACGTCTCCTTGGGCTTGTCCGGGGGGCCGGCCGGGCCGGGCCCGGGCTCTGGGGCGCCCCGAGCCCCCTTCCAGCCGCCGGAAGACGGAAGGACCCCACCCTGGCACCAGGGAAACTTTACCGCTGCCGGTAGCGGCGCGGGCGGGGTCGGGTGGAGTTAGGGAACCCAGTCGGGCGTCCCGGGTCCGGAACGGAGCGGTCCCCAGGGGACTGCGCTCCCCGGCCGCCTCCACTGGGAAGCTCCTCGCGCGAGCCCGCCAGCCGTTTGCAGAAGTTGGTGCGGTCCGTTTCTGAAGGATCCGGCGGTACCGGTGGACCAGGTCGGGCGTGAACTTTCCCCTGGCTTTCCCCGGCAGTGTGCTCGGCCACAGGGCCGAGGGCTACCTTTGCTTTTCTCCGCCCCGCACCCCGGCCCCGAAGTTGTGAAGAAAAGCCCCATGTGAAAACCTAGAAGTTAATGGTCTGCCTTGCCCCATAGGGTCGCTTAGAGTCCGCATTCGCTCAGTGGTAGTGAGTTGCTTTGGACTGTATGAAGCTCACGTTTCAAAATGGTATACACTTTTGCCTCTTTCGATTGAGCAAGCTCCTAGGGTGGGGGGGACATGCCCACTGGGAAGAGAGGATGGAGACAGGGCGGTGGAGGCACGGTGTAAGGTAGTAAGCCCTGGGGCGTGCTCAGTGGCGTCTTGCCTCCAGTGCCAGGGCCTAGGAAGTTTGTTTTGTCTGTGCCCAGCAACCCTCCAGGAGAAGAGGATCCTCAGTGTGTGGTGCCCTTTGTTGTGATCTTAGACGCTGCACATCAGAAGTGCCTACTTCTCCATATTGATCTTGTGTCGAAGCCATGTTTCCCGAGGCTTCCATAACACAACGGAAGTGACTTCTAAGAACAGTTCTGGAGGCTGGGAGGAGCAGGGCCATGCTCCCCCAGGAAGTCTCTAGGGCAAGAGCCTGCTTCTCTGTCCTGCCTTCTGGTAGGCCCAGGCATTCCTTGACTTGCAGATGTATCTTCACGTGGCAGCCCTTCCTCTTCGTGCTTTTGGCTGTGTGTTTTCATTTAAAGGACACCACTGAGATAGGATTAGGAACCCCCCTATAGGGTCACTGTGAGTTGTAAGCCACTCAATGGCAGTGAGTTCTGAGTTTTGAGACTCTGGTATGATCTCTTGTGAATTTAACTTGATAACATCTTCAAAGATCCTATTTCAAAACACTCATGATCTGGGGCTTAGGACTTCTATATATCTTTCTGGACCACACAGTTGAAGCCATATAGCAGGTTCAGGGTTCCCTTTTTGACTCGTTCTTTTTTGTGAGAGATCAGAAGGTGTTTCTTATGTTTCTCTTAGTGTTTTTCGGTGTTTCGGTGGTGGTTGATTTTTCTGGAGGATTTTCCTTTTTGACAGTTTCATTGGCATATAATTCACAAATCATACAATTCAATAGTTTAATCATAATAAGAAGAGTTGTATAATATTTTTCTTTTCTTTAGTCAGAGTGTTTCTTTTTTTCCTTTTTTGTTGTTGTGTGTTCTCTAATTTTTCCTACTCTGAAATATACTACTTATGTAACAAATTTGAAGATAATAAAACAGGCCTTCAATCTTTTTGGCTCAGGCTTGGCCATCTTCCTTCCAAGATGACACTGGTCTCAGTGGTGCAGCGTGTGAGCTAATCGCAGTCTCAATTGATGAGGATTTATTGTGTGTGATTCACTAAAAGGAATACATGAGCAGCAGGGTCTTGCAGAGATATGCCAGACTGGTTAACATACAGTAGCTGCATCCTCAGTTTCAAGCATATTCCTCTGACACGGGATTTCACACAGCCTTCCAAAAGTCAACTTTTTGAGGGTGAACTATTACCCTGTTTCTTTTCTTTGGACTTTCTCAGATGTGGGTCCCAAAGTGTACAAGGGTGCCTACCTGTTGAAGAAAACCAACTCCCAGCCCCCTTATGTACAAGAACAATTCAGCAGATCCATTTTGTAAAGCTTCACAAATGCCCCTTTTGGCCCAAAGAAAATTGTTTGCAGAACAATGACTGTATGAAAGGATCTTTGGTAAGATCTGAAAAGACCTGATTGGGTCTCATAACAGAGTTGCTGGAGTAGTTCCAGATGGTGCTTCCAGACAGGTAAACTCCAGAGAACAAGGAGTCTTCAGGTACAAGTGTGGTCACTGATAAATTACATCTTTCACTTTTGAGCACTGCAGTTTTTCACTTACATGTATATGCTGTTGCTTATACAGTGCAAGTTCTATACAAGTATCTAGGATTTGTATGACTTTATTTTCTCAGCCAATTGATAACTCAATATTAAAGGTATTGAAAAAGGTCTGGAGGTAAAACACATCTGGTGGTAAAACACTGAAAAGATTTGGCACCATGTGTACAGTTTGGGGCTTTGGGACTAGTGTTGGAACAACTAGTGTTGACGAGTGGTGATATTAGATCACAGAATATCATTTTTCCAAGCGTAGATATTAAATTCAGAGTTGAAAATCCACAGAGCTTTTATGATTTTAGTTTTACCCATCAATGAGGGGAAAAATTTTTTTTCAAGACATGGGACATTTGTTAGGTGTTTAAAAAGAAATTGTATGCACCCCTTCCTCCTTCATTGCTTCATTGGTAATGGCAAGTTGAACAAATGGTGCACTTATAAATGCATGACTCCCATGAGGTCCTTGAAGAAATCTGCTGTATACCAGTTTCAGTGATTTCAGTTCCTGGACCTGTAGCCATGTCAACGGCAAATTCATTACTATTTTCATGGAAATCTCAGCACTTTATTGTAAAAGTGATCACTGAAGCAGATCTTGTTAGATAGAAGTTGTACATCTCCTTGGTCCTCATGGTGAAGAAAGCTGGTCCTTTGAGCCCTGACAGAGAAACTACATGCACATGTATTGGAATAGCTCTCAACTTAAATATTAGCACAGATACTGTGGTTTGTATAGTTTTTTGTCCCTTATAGCCTGTCAGTTTGATGGCAAGAACACTTAAGGCTTTGCACGTTAGCTCACTGTTCACTGTCCATGGTGCTGAATCCTTGTCCTTTTGTCAAGAAGTTCAGTAAGAAAAAGAATGTTTGGAAACTGATAGCAATAGTACAATTCTGCTTGACATGATTGAACAATGGAATGATATGATATATATATTAACTCCAAATGAATAATAATTAAAAAAAAGAAACCGCATATTATACCGGGCAATTGTCTTCAAAAAATCCTTTTAATAAAGGTTTTAACGGCAAAAAAAAAAAGCCCTTTCCACTGTGAGAGTGGATTTTGGAGCATGCTGTAAAATTAACTTCAAAATACACAGTAATAAAAGTGTAATGGAAGTTTCAGCTGAGGGTGAGCATGCCTTAAGACCCTCAAGCTGAGTTATTATCTTTTTTTTTTCTTAATCATTTTATTGGGGGCTCATACAACTCATCACAATCCATACATCCATCCATTGTGTCAAGCACATTTGTACATTTGTTGCCATCATCATTC